ATGTACATAAAAACATAAATAGCTTTAATAAGAATAAGGATGTTCATACCTTAAACACTAGGAACAAACATAAGCTTGTAATGCCACTTACAAGACTCCACAGAATTAGTAATTCATTTATGGGGCAATGTATACGCTTTTACAACAGAATCCCAGAACATGTTCAAAGTTTGTCAATAAACAAGTTTAAAAGTTTTATTAAAGAAAAACTGTACAAAAAGGGTTATTATAATATCAAGGAATACATGAGTGAAAATAACCCCTGGGAATAAGGTGATCGCCACCATGCTGGTTCTATGAAAATTCATTTAAAATTGTATAATCAAAATTATTGTTAAGTGAAATTATGTTTAAAAAAAAAGTCCCGCTGGGTTTCTTGCTGGTTCTTCCCAGGACAGAGGTATTTTCCGAACCAGTGGTAAATAAAATAATGACTTTCAATAAGTATTATGTAATAATCCATATTGAATAAAAATCATTCTATTCTATTCTATTCTATTCTATTCTATTCTAAACGACCTATCGTTGGCTGAATATCGCCGCACATAGTTCCAACATGATGGTGCCCCTCCACATTTCGTGAGGTTCGTCCGTGAGCGCCTCAATGAGCTATTTGATGATCGCTGGATCGGCAGACTAGGACCACACGCTTGCCCACCTCGCTCACCAGATCTGACTCCGTTAGACTTCTTTTTGTGGGGTATGTGAAAGAAAGGGTTTTTAATCGTGAATGTGATAGTGCTGAAGAAATGCGCCAAAGGATCGTGGATGCTTTCGAGAAACTACGTACGGACTGTGTCAAAGACCACACGATGATGCCCCGCCTGCACCCAAGTCTGCCTTGAAATGAATGGAGCACAATTTGAGCCGCATCTCATAAGACGACGGAGGATTTAGAGCAGTAAGCTGTTTCATAACTATTTTTTTTTAAATAACTTAGTACTAGACTAATCTGAATAGGTACATAACTGAATACACGAGAATAATAAACATACCTACACGATGAATAAAAACGCATGACTCCAACCTTGGTTACTTTTCATTTAAGTATTTCTTCATTAGCGGGGAATCGAACCAGTTATTTGGGTTATTTAACCTGTAAATTTGGATTAAAGTGGCTACGTGGAGATAAGCACAGTGGCAAAATAGTAGGTTAAGTAGATAAGTTAGGTATTTAGACACGTGTTGTAAATTATTAGGTATTGTGGGAAGGCCCGCTAGTTGCGGGCCGCGCGAATTTGTGTTCGCGCGTACATTGACCTTTATCTAGCTCAGGTCAGGTGATATCAATTCAGTCATTCCACTGCTGGTTTATTGTTTCAGTATTTTCATGATATTTTTTATGAAATTATCGTTTCATTTAGCTGTACTAACATGATGGCGCGTGAATAAAGCTAATAAAACCTTGTAAAAAGATGATTTTTTTTTCATCAGGATCGAATTTATTTGTGACCCATGATCAAAGGTATACTTGGTGTTGTCGCCTGTCTTAGTTTTCGGGAGCGTTCCAAAAACACCCTGTATATATAATATAGGTATATATGTGTATACATATATATATATAAGACTCAACCTGGCAACGTACAACGCACGCACCCTGAGGACTGACGAGAAGATCGTGGAGCTGGAAGAAGAGATAGACAAGTTGAGCTGGCATATTATAGGATTATCCGAAGTCCGAAGAGAGGGGGAGGACACGGTAATCCTCGAATCCGGGAACTTGCTCTATCACCGGGAGGGCGACCATCTGTCCCAAGGAGGTGTCGGATTTATCGTCCACAAGTCTCTCGTTAACAACGTTGTAAAGATCGGGAGTGTGTCGACGAGGGTTGCGTACCTTATACTCAGAATCACCAAACGGTATTCGCTGAAGGTCATACAGGTTTGCGCACCAACCTCGGCACACCCCGATGAGGTGGTGGAGGAAATGTATGAGCATATCTCTAGAGCCATGCATTCCTCCAAAACTCAATATACGGTGTTAATGGGAGACTTCAATGCAAAACTAGGCACAAGAGAGAACGGTGAGCTGAAAGTAGGGAAATTTGGAATAGGGCAACGGAACCCAAGGGGCCAGCAGCTGCCCGACTTCATGGAGAAAGAGGGACTCTTTATGATAAACTCTTTCTTCCAGAAACGGCCCCACAGGAAGTGGACCTGGTCGAGCCCCGACGGTTCGACAAAAAATGAGATTGACTTCATTATGACGACCAGACGACAACTGTTCAGTGATGTCTCCGTGATCGCTAGGGTGAAAACTGGTAGCGATCACCGAATGGTTAGAGGCACACTGAACCTAAACGTTAAGTTGGAGAGGTCTCGTCTAATGAAGTCAACGCTCCGTCCCCCTCGTGCCATGTTCCAAAGTCCCGAAACCTTTCAGCTCGAGTTACAAAACCGTTTTCAGTGCCTAGAAGACTGCAATGAAGTGGACGATATGAATGACAAGCTCGTGGAAACTGTCCATGCGGTCGGAGCTAAGTTCTGCAAGACCCGCCGCAGAAGAACACAAAAACTCTCCGATCACACTCTTAATCTCATGGCTGTTAGACGGGAGATGAAACTACATTCTTCAACAGACTTGACAGCATTCAGGCATCTGAACAGACAGATCTCCAAATGCATGCGGCGGGACTTACGCAACTTCAATACAGCTTGTATTGAAGAAGCGATCAAGCGGAACCAAGGCTCCAAAGTCTTTGCCAGAGATCTGTGTGCCAGAAAGAGCCAACTGTCAAAGCTGAAGACCGAATGTAGCAGCATCGTTTCCGGGACACCTGAGATTTTGAGTGAGATTGAGAGGTTCTATGGGCAGCTGTACACGTCATCGTTGGAGCCACACGCAAGTGTGAGTAACGATCCAAGAGCGAGTCTCATCCGACACTATTCCGAAGATATCCCGGACGTCAATCTGAGCGAGATTAGAATGGCTCTCCAGCACCTTAAAAACGGTAAGGCCCCAGGCGAGGATGGAATTACAGCGGAGCTTCTGAAAGCGGGTGGAAGACCGGTACTTGAAGTCCTTCAGAAGCTCTTTAATTCCGTCCTCCATGGTGGCGTTACACCGGAGGCGTGGAGCAGAAGTGCGGTGGTCTTGTTCTTCAAGAAAGGTGACAACGCTCTCTTGAAGAACTACAGACCGATTTCCCTTCTGAGCCGCGTCTACGTGCTGTTTTCGAGAGTCATTACGAATCGTCTCGCGCGCAGACTTGACGACTTCCAGCCTCCCGAACAAGCCGGTTTCCGAAAGGGCTTTAGCACCATAGACCACATACATACCCTTCGGCAAATTGTACAGAAGTCCGAAGAGTACAATTTGCCACTATGTCTGGCGTATGTGGACTATGAGAAAGCCTTTGATTCCGTCGAAATTTGGGCGGTGCTGCAGTCCCTTCAGCGGTGCCAAGTTGACTGTCGGTATATCGAAGTGTTGAAGTGCTTATACAGTAGGGCTACGATGGCTATCCGAGTACAGAACCAGAGTACGAAACCTATCCAATTGCAGAGAGGTGTAAGACAGGGTGACGTCATATCCCCGAAACTCTTCACCGCTGCATTGGAAGACGTTTTCAAGCTTCTGGACTGGAAAGGATACGGTATCAACATCAATGGCGAGTACATCACTCACCTTCGATTTGCCGACGATATAGTCCTTATGGCAGAATCGCTGGAGGGCGTAAGCACTATGCTCAATGACCTCAATAGTGTTTCCCAACGGATAGGTCTTAAGATGAACATGGACAAAACAAAGATCATGTTTAATGTCCATGTTACACCTATCCCGGTAGTTGTTGGGAGCACTAAGCTCGAAGTTGTTGATGAGTATGTTTACCTGGGACAAATAGTCCGACTAGGTAAGTCCAACTTCGACCGAGAGGTCAATCGACGGATTCAACTCGGCTGGGCAGCGTTCGGGAAGCTACGACACATCTTCTCGTCAGACATACCTCAAAACCTTAAAACGAAATTGTACAACCAGTGCGTGTTGCCAGTGATGACTTACGGAACTGAGACGTGGTCCTTCACTGCTGGCCGTATGAGGAAGCTCAAGGTCGCTCAGCGAGCTATGGAGAGGGCTATGGTCGGAGTTTCTCTGCGTGATAAACTTAGGAATGAGGATATCCGCAGTAGAACCAGAATAACCGATATAGCCCAACGGATTAGTAAGCTGAAGTGGCAGTGGGCCGGCCATATAGCTCGAAGAACCGACAACAGATGGGGAAGAAAGGTTCTCGAGTGGCAGGCTCGTACCGGTAGGCGAAGTGTAGGGCGTCCCCCCACGAGATGGAGTGACGACCTGGTAAGACATGCAGGAAGTCGATGGATGCAGGTGGCTCAGGACCGTGCTTTGTGGCATTCTTTGGGGGAGGCATATGTTCAGCAGTGGACTTGTGAAGGGCTGTAATGATGATGATGATGATGATATTATATACAAGATTAACCATGTAAAGACGGTGTAAGAATATCCACTACCCAATGTGAGTGTCGTAATATGCGGCAGAGGTAATCTGAAACAGGAAATGGGCAGCAGCATCTTCCTAATCACGACTACAAATAAAAACTGCGGTTGCCAACCCGCTTGCCAAGCGTGGCAACTATGGCAAATATCCATAGATGTGGCAAGCTATGGCCTATGTTTAGCAGCGGACTTTAATAAGCTGATACGGAAACGGTAATATCGAATAAAACTACTTTTACGGATTTTATCGCGTTTAATTCTACTTATTTTTAATTCCCGACGATTCGGATACTTTACAACACCCATGGTCATGGGGGACTGAGGTGATTAACATCCCAATGTTAATCCGGAGTACCTTCAGCTTTTTAATTAATACTTTTGCACCGATCTACTCAGAATGACCTTACTGTGTCTTAAAGTCTTGTAGTGATATTCTTGGGTTTAGTTGGGTTTGGTAGTAAAATCCGTAAAAGCAGTTTTATTCAATATGTGGTGTTTGCGTAAATATAAAAAATCATAACGGTAATAATTGTCATTTCAGAACACATATAAAGGCGGACCTGGCTTAGCGAATCTAGACATTAAGCTAAACACAGAAGTGACTAAAATCGTCTGGCCGCAGCAACCCTCTACCCCAGTGGAAGTGACCTGCAAGGATGGTAAAGTGTATAAAGCTAACAACGTGATTGTCACCGTATCTGTTGGCGTCTTGAAGGAAAGGTCAGTTTTATGAATGTATATAAAGATTTGTTAATTGACAAGTAGATCAATCACACCAGAATGAAGCTGATATTTTGCGTTGGTATTCTGTAAGAGTGTGGTCTTTTTATATTTATGTAAGGAAGGTCTACCGACAATTGTTACAATTTAATATACAAAATTTACAATTGTTACAATTTAATATACAAAATTTACAATTGTTACAATTTAATATACAAAATTTACAATTGTTACAATTTAACATACAAGATTTACAATTGTTACAATTTAACATACAAAATTTACAATTTTTACAATTTAATATACAAAATTTACAATTGTTACAATTTAATATACAAAATTTACAATTGTTACAATTTAACATACAAGATTTACAATTGTTACAATTTAATATACAAAATTTACTATTGTTACAATTTAATATACAAAATTTACAATTGTTACAATTTAACATACAAAATTTAAAATTGTTACAATTTAACATACAAAATTTACAATTTTTACAATTTAACATACAAAATTTACAATTGTTACAATTTAATATACAAAATTTACAATTGTTACAATTTAATATACAAAATTTACAATTGTTACAATTTAATATACAAAATTTACAATTGTTACAATTTAACATACAAAATTTAAAATTGTTACAATTTAACATACAAAATTTACAATTTTTACAATTTAATATACAAAATTTCCAATTGTTACAATTTAATATACAAAATTTACAATTGTTACAATTTAACATACAAGATTTACAATTGTTACAATTTAACATACAAAATTTAAAATTGTTACAATTTAACATACAAAATTTACAATTTTTACAATTTAATATACAAAATTTACAATTGTTACTATTTAATATACAAAATTTACAATTGTTACAATTTAACATACAAAATTTACAATTGTTACAATTTAATATACAAAATTGTAAAATAGTATTTCACTAATTGCACAATTACTTACAGATAAACACCGTGAAGCCATAAAATTAAAAAACATAATTTACATATTATGCTACGAAAAATTATTAATATATTTTAAAGCAAAACAACTAGTGATTTAGATAAGAAAGAAAGACATCTTCCTCTCTGATTAAGATAAGTGAAATAAGTAAACAAAAAAATATCTTCATTTGGAATTGTATCTAACAGGTACATGCAAAACTTGTATGAAGTAAGAAAATTTATATTAATCCGGCTTATGGGCCCATTATAAAGTAAACTTTTTATGTACTGCTCATTGATCACTAATAAAAAACTATATACACAATCAGTGACAAAAAATGTCCTTACCGAATAAGTGCCTACTGGAACATTTGGGTGCGCTTTTAATTTGTACCTAGCTTTGTGAATACAACTTTAGGCAATGCATTTAAGGTTGAGTTTGCATTAATGTATATTTTTTCAACTAGAATTACATCAAAACAATTGGCGACAGTTTTTAGAGAACTTTAGCATTGCAACGTGGCTCTACCACGTTTCTAATAGGGTTGTATTTTTTTTTTTCATAAATAAGTATCAGATAAGCTTACAGCCCACCACTGATGGTAGGTAGCTACTGTAGATCATTTACAGATTACATATACATTTAACATTTTTTTAACTGGCTTTACGGCTCTGGGTTCTAGCCCTTCTGAGCCTAATACATTCTACAGATGTGTTTCACCTTTGAGGACTAAAATGGAATGTGTCATAGCATATAATCATACTGACTCTATACTCAGCAAGACGGCTCCGTGGCGTAGTGGCTTAGCAATGAGTTACAGCACTGAGGGCCACCGGTTCGAATCCCGCACGGAAAAAGTATTTGTATGACCTACAAGTAATGCTTTTTGGCGACATAAAGTAATGTCCTCCAGACCGAGTTTCGGTCATGGCGGCCAGCCTAAACGGAGACTAGCCATCGGCGCAGGGCAGGATTATAGTGCCCAAGTGTATGCGCCAGCACATGTCCATTATCTATTGCCTCCCTCTCATAGTCCGATGGGACGGTAAACCGACACGACCGGGGAGAGATCAGGCGCAGGACCAACGGCTTTACATGCTTTCCGAGGCAAGGGGGGGAGAGACCGCCAATTTCCGAATTCCGGGCAGCTATGGAGAATTTCTTGCTGGAAAAACTCAATAACTGATTCTTTTGGCCCGACTCGGGATTCGAACCTTCGGGACCTCACCTCACTACTACAATCACTAGACCAACGAGGCTGTCCTTAATAGGTAAGAGTACAATATGAGTGGGATATGGACTTCTGGGCATATAAAGGAAATCCTTAATGTAGTACAATACTATACTATACAGTAGGGTCTGTTTCTAAAACACGCTGTTATTAAGGAAGAGCATATTTCCAGATACTCAACACTTTTCGACCCTCCTCTACCGGAAGAGAAAGTGTTAGCCATACAAAGGTTGCCTATGGGACTTCTCGACAAAGTAGTTCTAGCATTCCCCAAACTTAAGTGGCCGGGATCTAGCTTCATCTTTCTACATACAAAAGAAGATAAAGATAAGATTGTCAAAGAGAACGGCTGGTACTTATCTACCGCGTCCATGCCAATGGGCTCGAGTAACACCATAACTTTATGGTTCTCCGGAGAAATGGCTAAATTGGTCAGTATACAGCTTGTTCGTATATAAAATCATACTTAATGCGTACAAAAACTCTTAAGTCGTATTAAGTCATAGTCGTTAATAAGTTAAAGTTGTATAACTTGTCTAGAAATTAATGTAAATTAATAATAATAATTTGTAGTTAATCATTTTGAATTTTAATTCATTGGGATAAAGTACAAAATTCCTTACGATTTATCCTAACTTATTTTATTTTATGAAACGCATGCATGATACTAGTATAAACTACATACTATTGTAACTGCATGGCTGGGAGAGATCAGAACATTTTGTCGACACCATAGACAATTTTGCATGTTACATAATTGGAGGGCAAACACAATCTTGTTTTTTTTTAATCAAAAACAAATATTATAATTTTTACTGAGCCGTATGATTAGTATACCGAATGGATGATTAGTTAAACCATGCTGCATTTATAATAATAGTTGTAGTAGAAATGTGTCAGTTTGACTGAGTAAAGACAACACTCTCGCAGATTACCAGCGTGAAATGGAAGCTTAATGCTGCTGTGGTTCGTATGGTGAGTGTAGAGAACCGGATACCCCTTTTACTGGAAACGATGCATTCCATCTTAGTCCTCACGGCTGACAACGCATCTGCATTTTGATTCTTGATCGAAGTTAGATCAAATCCAGCGAGGAGGACTTTTCCTTTGACTCGAAGGCTCTCATTATATACTGATTTCTTTTGTTTAAGGAAACTGCACATTTAAATATAACTAGTATTTTCGGATTTCATCGCGTAAATTAACCTGTTTTGTATTCCCAAAATTTCGAGTACTTTGCCACTGCTTTCGAGAATACAAAATAAATACCATTACAGCCTATTAAAGTCCACTGCTGAACATAAGCCTCCCCGATAGATTGCCTCATAGGGAGGATATTTGCCAAAGTTGTAATGTTACTGTTAATTTAATAAATTCACCTCTCAGTGGGTCATGTGCTCCTGGTAGATTATCTGCTATACATCCATCATTACAGCCTATTAAAGTCCACTGCTGAACATGGGTCTCCCATAGATTGCATCATAGGGGGGTGTTTGTCAGTTGCCACGCTTGGCAAGCGGGTTGGCAACCACAGTTTTTTTTTTAATTTTTCCCAGCACCTGATTTGTTTCTCTCTGTCGCCTCTAACGACACCCACGGGATGATATGATGTAGTGGATATTCTTACACCATCACTACACGGTAAAAATATGTTAATACACTTTATAAAATCCGTAAAAACTAGTTTCAATTCTTATTATAACTTGAGCATGCATTGTGCGTTCATCACCATTACCCCCTCTTACAGACACATGACCCTGTTCACCCCACCACTGCCACGTGAGAAAGTAAACGCCATCAACAGCATGACAATGGGTGTAATGGATAAAATAATTTTCTCGTTCGACAAGCCTTGGTGGCCGGTTTCGCACACCTTTTTCGCGTTCATGTGGAAAGGGGAAGACAAGAGGAAAGTGGCCAAAGAGGATTTCTGGACTACTAAGATATTCTCCGCTAGCACTCCCATGGGGTCCGGTAACACGCTCACCTTGTGGACTAGTGGGGAGACGGGCAAATGGGTTGGTTGGACTTCATATTAACACGCTTTTGGTTTCCTATATATTATTTTGGTACTGGGATATAAGTGCGTATATTTTGGTTTTATCGTGCATGAAGTTGTCACAAATAATACTTAAGTCTTGTCGTTGTCCGTGGAAAAGCCACGGAGCAACTATTTTATTAGTTTTTATTAGTTTTTTTTTTTAAAAACGTTACCCCCACACTAGGATTTTCTCCTGTGTCGTGGAGGCAGTTTACAAACATAAATTGCACAAGGACAAACATCCAGACCCGGAACAATTATTTGTAGGCCATACAAATACTTGTTCCGTGCGGGATTCGAACCCGCAGCCCCCAGCGCAACAACTGATTGCTAAGCCACTGCGCCAAGGAGCCGTCAAGCCGTATTATGATTGTAGCACGAATCCAATCGGTCGAAAAACGACCGAACAAGGACCACAGAATGGCAGCGTGAAAAGCAGCTTAATGCTGTGTTTCGTATGTTGAGTGTAGAGAACTGGAGACCCTTTTTACTGGAAACTAGGCTTTTCACCTTTGTCTTCAGGGGTGACAACGCATCTGCAATTTTCATTTCAAATTTTTTTATCATCTTTTATATACATAACGTTCAAATATATGCACGTCTATAACATTTATTAGCATAATAAAAAAAAAACTTATTTTTTTAATAGAAAAAGGTTGACAAAGACACAGTGGTGGCAAGTGGGTGCTGTAGCCCATATGACTGACCTGCCATATAATATACGAGACACAGCAGCATTGAGCAGCTATTTTACGCTCTCACAAAATACCAATTCGTGAGATTTCGTGAGTTCAATTTGTTAGAGCGTGGTCCTTCCTCGGTCGAGCCGACCCATTCGTGCTACACCCATAATATAGCTGCAGCATGGCTCTACCACGTAAAAAATTATCATACAGTCATACTCACCGCGGTATCGTGCCAAAAACGCATGCTTTGTTTCCCCGCTGAATGGATATACTTAGCGTTTGAACGAGAAAAGAACCAGCCCTCTTATCACCAACAGCGACGACCAGTCGCAGATACAGTTCCTTTAGGAAGTTGATCGCACGTGGACTATACGGACCGTTAGTCTCTCTTATAGAATAAGGGTGACAAACGAGCACACAGTCCACCCGATGTTTAGTGGATGCTGTAGCCCATACACATCATCAATCCTCGATTAAGAATCAAGATGCTACCATATATCAGATGCGTTGCCCCTGAAGACTAAGATGGAATGCCTCGTCACAGCTGTGGCATTATGGTATAGTGATACAGACACAGTTATTTTAGGAACTTCATCACATTTGGGCCCCACGGAACGATTCTGTCTACAGTAAATGTCTAGTGTTAAGTCTATGTTTAGTGTGTAGTATAGTTATTTCTGGTTGTCTTAAATAAACAAAAAATATTGAATATAATAGAATAATAATACGAAAATATCAATATAGATTACAAACAATTATTATTGAAGGTCATTTTTTTATAGGATAAGGATGACAAACGAGCACACAGTCCACCTGATGGTAAGTGGTTGCTGCGGCCCATAGACATCTACATCTATCCTCTATTACAAATGCGTTGTCACCCGTGAGGACTAAGATGGAGTGCCTCATTTTCAGTAAAAAGGGCCTCCGGCCACCTGCACTCACTAAGCGAAACGCAGAGGTAAACCTCTACTTCACGCTGGTTTTCTGTGACGTGGTACCACCCCGGTTCGAGCCGGCCCATCCGTGCGACAGCAAAAGCCGCCACGTGGCTCTACCACTGTTGAATGTATTTGGTCATTTTTTACTTTTATCACTGGTTCCGAAAAAACCTCTGTCCTGGACAGAACCAGCACGAAACCCAATCCCATTGATCCATATCGTGTAACTACATTCAATTTACTTTTTTATCATAACTAAACTATTTAATTGACAAATTATAAAATCGCGTGATATTATGATTATATAGAACAATAATATAATTTATAAAATGCAGGTAGAAACTATACCAGAGGAAGTTGTGAAGAGGAAATCAGTTGAACTCCTCCAGAAATTCCTTGGAGCCAACGTGACCATACCCGAGCCGACAGGAATGCTTAGGTGAGTTATTGTTCGTATTCAATTCGACACTGCTTACTACGCGTTCATTTCGAGTTTGCCGTGGCCGACCGTTATGACGTCACAGCTGTCGGTACCGTAGACAAAACTATTATTGTAAGTGTTTTAATTATTGTACGAGGTTCGATTTTTAGTTTGTTGTCCTGTACAGAGAAATGGAGGGCAAGCAAGTAGATAAAATGCATATTATTGAATAATTTATTTAGTTAGTAAAGTAAAATAATAACACTGTCCGATAAAATAAAATATTTTTATTATAGTTTTATGATATATTTTAAATAAAATATTTACGAAGGCGCGAAAAAAAACTGGTAGGTTGTTATTTGTAATCGATAACTTCCATACCAGTTATTTTATCAAAATCGTTTGTCCCTGTATCACTGCCATCACTACATTCTGTGTTCATCACAAATTAACGAACGTAAAAAGTCAACCGAAACAAAAAATCAACAGTAACAAAAACAACAACAAAAACAGTAACAAACAAGAGATCACACGGGAGCACAAACAACGGACGTAGATACATTTCAGCGTTGCTATCGGTACTATATGGGCGACGCTTGAGGCGCGGTATGAGGGAGCGCGGCGGGAGGTAACGGCATTCATGAAATGAACACGTAGTACATTATTTTAATAAAATTGAAGTGATATAATGACCTTACAGCCCACCTAAGTGGCTACTGCAGTCCACGGACTGGATGCTGGATGTTGCGGGTAACCAACTTCAGACAAAGCAAGCTACAGACGCATTGAAATTTCTAAGGACTAAGATTACAGTGTCAGTCGCTTAGATACGGTCACCTTTGTATCGCGCCGCCTCGGCACGTGCTGCGACTTGTCAAAGGCGCCGCCGCGACATCAAAAGTCGCCGCATGCGGCGTACACCCGCAGGAGAATTTGGCATTTTAAAACTAAGCGCCGTAGTGAAAGGTTCTTTGCTACCTAACTTGTGTTTATTATTTATGTTCGTATTTTATTACAATAGAAAACTTACTTTTTACAAAATTTATAGTCAGAATAAAAAAAACGTTTATTTAACAAACACAGCAAAACATAATAAAACAAAAGCAAAATAATAAGTACGTCTCTGGTGTATCGACACTATCTTAGTGAACAGACTACATACTGACTCTAATATGATAGTTCGAAACACAGCGAGTGCAATCACTGCTATATGTTGACAGAAATATGTAAGAGGGTCGCAGCTACGCAGACAGAAGATTAAAATTAGATCAAGTTGGCATTTCTAAAAAAAGGATAATCCTTTACAAATGGGGTTTAAATCCATTGCATATGATCTGCCATATTAGAAGTTTCTTAAAATAGGTAATTCATTATAAGAGTGTTCTGCAGGAGGTAAATTTTGTAATCATTCAATTGAACAAAATATATTTAAAGAAAATAAAATTAATCGTTGATTAATTATTGATTCTCAAATAATTATTATTATTATTGATAATAAAGAAATATATGAACCAAATGAGGAGATAATATTTCATGAAGTAAAATTATCTGGATAATCAGAATCGTATCATATTACATATAATAAATTATTTTATATTATTTATTGAATTTACAATTGCCACAGCTCTTACATATTATAAATTATTAATAATATAAAAATCAATTACTGTCCGTTAGTCTCGCTAAAACTCATAACGGTTCGATTTTGATGAAAGTTTTCGTGTGTTTCAACGGGTCCCTAATTTTTTTGGATTTAAATTAGCACCCGGTAAGTGGCGAATCGCTAGTTATTAATGAAATATTAAAGCCAATAATTGATTTATTTTCCATTTATATTATTGTGTACTACGACAGCAGATACGTTTTTTTATTTCACTGTTCTTTGCCAGCGCTTGACAAACATCCCACTCACATTGTAATTGGTTGGAAAGACAGACGACAAATTATTTTTCATATAAATTAGTTTCGCAAGTACGAAATTACCTTAACTTTGAAAAAGATTATTTTGATTCATAACTCAATTTTGTCATAAGTAGGCCTTTTGGCTGTGTTCAGAAGAAAATGCTGTTTTAGCCGTGTAATGAAAAGGGGAGATCTCCCGCCGGGTAAGATGTTCGGCCCGGGGAGCGGCCAACGCTCCGTTTGTTATTTCGAAACTGTTCTTTATATAGCGCGTTAACTTCAGAACTTTGATAGCGCGATTTAGGCATAAGTGTGTTTCGCTTGTCGCGCGACGACAGCACCGTTGTCAAAATCAAACTATGACCATGTCTTAACTCGGATAACTTTTTTACAGGACAACCTGGTACTCGAATCCGTACACCAGAGGTAGCTACACTTTCGATAGTGTGAGCTCAATGAAGTACCCCAACTCTAGGGCGGATTTGGGCAAACCCCTTCTAGACAGTGCTGGCACACCAAAAGTTCTTTTCGCGGGAGAGGCGACCGACTTGACTCACTTTTCGACTGTCCACGGCGCCAGTGCGAGTGGCTACAGAGAAGCAATGAGGCTTTTACCCCATAGCAAAATTTAAACTATAAACATATATCATATTTTGCATGTTTTTGGACGGATTTTTCCCCATGTATATGGCAACACTGAATATCGTCAAATATTTATCAAGCAATAGATTATGTATGTCCTTATAATAATGTGTATATCAGATATATTTTCATATAAATTATTAATATTTTATAGATTTGTATAATATAGAAAATAAATAAGTTAAAAAGGACAGTTACAAAATGTGAAATAAAAAAAATCGAAATCTAAAAAGAAAATAGCCAGTAAATTGATATAACAGATAATAAATGCCTTGAAAAAATATTGTCCAACTAAAATTGAATACTTAAACAGAAGTAACACTACAATTAAAAGCACTGTTATACATTAATTAGCACTAAATTATTATAATTATTAAAAAACTGACCGTAACAAATATAAGCATTATTATACATTAATTAGTGAGCATTGAATTATTATAATTACTAAAAACCTGACCTGAAGACAATCTTAATGTATCTGCTTGGTAGAGCCATGCTGCAGCTGTATTATGGTTGTAGCACGAATGGGTCGGCTCGACCGGGGAAGGACCACGCTCTCACAGAATACCAGCGTAAAATAGCAGATTAACGCTACTGTGTTTCGTATGGTGAGTGTAGAGAACCGGCGACCCTTTTTACTGGAAACGAGGCTTTCCATCTCAGTCCTCACGGTTGTCAACGCATGTGCATTTTGATTCATAATCCAGGATAGATGTAGATGTCTATGGGCCGCAGCAACCACTTACCATCAGGTGGACTGTGTGCCCGCTTGTCACCCTTATTCTATAAAAAAATCACACCTAAGATTATGTTTATTATGGCGACATGCGCTTTATTATATTGGAACTCATACTAAAATTCATTTTATACAGGGTTATTTTGCAATAACCGGCCATATTTGTAGAGAAGGTTCAGAATAAGTAATATAGGCAAACGATGAAGAAAAATTAATTAAAAAATCTCCAACATTCTGTCCTTTTTATCTTTTAAATTCAAAATGCGTGGTAATGCATTATTATAACTGATTTTACTGAGCCCATAAATCACATTCAATTTGGGATAATTTCAAACAAAAGGGGGATCCTTATTTACTCGTATTTTCAAAACTGCAATAACGGTACGTCATTGTTTATATATTTGAACTTAAGTTTAAAATTTGGCTACTCTTTGAAAAATAACCCTGTAGATTGTTTATGGCATTTCATAATCAAAGGAATTACGATATTACAAAATTAAAAAAAAGGTGTTGAATTGTATATTAGCTTTGTACCCGGTACGTTGCTGCCGCAGAAGATATAATTGTAGAAATATCGTTTTAAATTTGATAGAGTTTTATTGTTTAATTGGGAATGATAGTATTTTATTGAATTTGATTGAAATTGAATGATATATTATAACTCTCAATCAAATTTGTCGGTACGATACGCGCGCTACCTACTGTAAGTTAATTGAACTATGCCTATAACCTTCGCGCAAGTGCAAGCAATAAGTTGACAAAGTGTTACCGCAACCTGATGAACGGTGTGACAGCGCGTAAAATACGAACAAACAAACATACATTAATTTTTATATATTAGATTTAACCGAATATCGACAATGAAAAATAAAATTTATCATGTATTTATATTATATAAGCGTATTTTTGAAAATCGATATATTACGATGTTACCTACTGAATATTTGTTTATGTACCAACTTTTGTATTCCTATATATATTTTGATATTGAAATATCACATTTATAGATATATTTGTAACTTGTTTAATTGTATTTGATATAAATAAATCTTATTCCTTCAGTAAAGTGTACTTATTGACATTATTCCTGCACAGCTGATGCTTCATTGAGTGATATAAAGTCTTAGGGTGCTTTTCCACCAGAGATGTGCTATGCAGCTATGCTGCGAGGATGTGAAAGCTAAGCTATGAAACTATGTGACCGGTTCCACTGATGCTAAACTCAGCTCGAGCTATGCGATGTCTCGACAGTAGGGAAGGCACGGGGAGCTCTGCTCTGCTCATAGCTACACTACTCGCGACCACCCATAGCACGCATCCATCCATATAAAAACATAGCTTAGTTGAAACTGTTTCCACCAGTGCTAAGCTATATGGACCAATGAATATGATTGCTGGATGTCAAACGCATCCATAGCAACGTAGCACGGCACATATCTAGTGGAAAAGCACCTTTAAATACCATTGAGCTATTATTTACGACGTACATATTACTTCAATGTAAAATACAGACACTAATAAACCTTTTATTGTTCTATTAAACCTTCTAATATTAATGATTACCTCGTTTGCCTCGTGGGTCTAGTGGCCGTGACCGATGGTCGATCACGAGGTCTCGGGTTCACATCCCGGGTCAGGCCAAAATCAGTTACTGGGTTTTCCTGTCAAAAAATTCACAGTAGTAGAGCTCAGGCAGGACTCGGAACCGGTTTAAAAAGAGCGGTTAATTTCGATTATTTACCGGTAAATTTATCGCTCCTTCAATTACCGGTTCAAAAATTAACCGGTTTTTATTTAACCTAAACGATAAAGGTTACCGGTTACTTAATGGTTTTGATACCCAAATTAACCGGTTAATTCCGTAAAACGTAAAGGCAGGACAGGTAGATTCACGTTGTGACGTGCTTATGCGGCATCGCTACATGCATACTTATCATCAATTGTCTGCCTTTAAGCGATACGTTGTTTCAGTCGTGATCAGGGTGTCTAGTGGAAGTTTGGCGTTTACGAAAAACGTGAAAGTATTAGAGAAGTTTGGAAGAAAGAAAGGCAGTTATTGTGTTTGGTTTATTCGTTAAGACTGGACTCGTCTCATAACGAAGAAAATAATTTATTCCTTTGTATCGGTTGTTTATTTATGATGGGCAGAAAAAAAAGTAAATCGAATTTATTCCATGTTTACTTTTTAAGAGTGGTAGAGCAACGCGGCAGATTTGCTGTCGCATGGATGGGCCAGCTCGAACCAGGGTAGTACCACGATCGCTTGGTAAGTGTAGGTGGTCGGAGGCCCAATTCTCCCCCCCCCCCCCTTAAAATATGGTAGCGGAATCAAATACAGTAAAACTTGGTTAAGTGGGACCTGGATAAGTGAGAAACCTCCATAGTTGGAACTTATGCTTAGGTCCCGACACTTTAACACTGAATTACCTCTGTTAGTGGGATAAAACAAACCTCTATATCTGGGATTAGTTCTATCCATTTTATTCGTCATAATTACCTCTATAATTGAGACAGCGAGTGTATTTTACCTCTTTTACTGAGAATATATTTTAAAGATTAGTTCTTTCGATTTTATTCGTCATAATTACCTCTATAATTGAGACAGCGAGTGTATTTTACCTCTTTTACTGAGACTATATTTTAAAGATTAGTTCATTCGATTTTATTAGTCATAATTACCACTATAATTGAGGCAACGAGTGTATTTTACCTCTTTTACTGAGACTATATTTTAAAGATTAGTTCATTCGATTTTATTAGTCATAATTACCACTATAATTGAGGCAGCGAGTGTATTTTACCTCTTTTACTGAGACTATATTTTAAAGATTAGTTCATTCGATTTTATTAGTCATAATTACCACTATAATTGAGACAGCGAGTGTATTTTACCTCTTTTACTGAGACCATATTTTAAAGATTAGTTCATTCGATTTTATTAGTCATAATTACCACTATAATTGAGACAGCGAGTGTATTTTACCTCTTTTACTCAGACTATATTTTAAAGATTAGTTCTTTCGATTTTATTCGTCATAATTACCTCTATAATTGAGACAGCGAGTGTATTTTACCTCTTTTACTGAGACTATATTTTAAAGATTAGTTCTTTCGATTTTATTCGTCATAATTACCTCTATAATTGAGACAGCGAGTATATTTTACCTCTTTTACTGAAACTATATTTTGTGTACCGTTTTGTTTACTAATTCTTATTCTACGCGCAAATTCCCTATGCTACAAAAAAATCACAAAAAATCACTTGGCTAATTGTGTAAAAATGACCTCCAGTTTTAGTTTGGTTTTGCTATCGTCCGGATGTTTATGTACTATGTTTACAAAATACGTTATTTTATTTAATAATCGCACATCTATAACTGAAATAACCACTATTCTCACCTCTATTAATAGAACCCTCTGTTAATGAGACAGATATTTAATTATACCTAGATATCTGAGACACTGGGTAAGTTGAATACCTCTTTAAGGGAGACAAATTTGCCGGTCCCTCAAGATCCCAGTTATCCTGGTTTCACTGTAAAAAAAACTACCCCAGGAGGGTACCAGCATCCTGGTGACAGAGAATCCTTCGCTGAGTACCCACGCCCAAGCTACCCTACTGTTCCTGAGCGTGGGAGCTCAAGCTGCCCCGGGTATTCTGGTATTCTGTATATCCGCAGAGATCGTAATCCTTGGCGATTTTAACGAACATCACGCCGAATGGCTCGGTTCACATTTAACCGATCATGTGGGGAGATTTGTTTATGCACTTTGCCTTAGTATATGGTCTGACACAGCAAGTTACTTTGTCTACGTGGATTCCAGATGTGGAGGATCATGCACCTTCCCTGTTGAAACTTCTGCTGACCTCTCATCCGGACGGATATCAGGTTTCCGTCGACACCCCTCATGGCTCCTAGGGCCATTGTCTTGTCCGGAGGGTGATGTGACTCACACTATCGTCGCGGTTGCATTCTGCAGGCTGCCGCCGTGTTTGAAACCATATGTCGGCCGATTGGGAAAGGATGCGGTCTTTTTTGCATCCTACCCTTGAGGGCCTTGGAACTTTTTATTCCATCTTCCAGATCAGATTCCAGCCATGGTTTGGTCGCTCATGTAAAATAGCATCACACTATAAGCAGGAGTGCTACCAGGCCTGGGATGACGATATCTTTACATCCCTTTTTCCATCCCGAGACGTTGATGTCTCGGGATGTAAACACCAGCGCTCTTCAAAAGAAGTATAATTCCGCCTCCAGGTTCTTCGAAATTCATTGCCAAGGCAAAGTCAGAGCACATCAGCAGAATTACTAAGAAGCTAGTTCGCCTTCCTTCGGTACATTCTTGTCTCTTGCCATGGGAACTTCTGTCAGCTATCTCTGCAAGAGAGCACGACTCACTGCTCTTTTCCGGTACTTCTACTCCTAAGACGTTGTCCCAAAGACAACTTTGGTTCACCCGA